GCTTGCACAGGGAAGGAACTTTGGGAACTCCATGGCCGGGCCTGACCTTTGCCCAGCACCCTCTTCAGCACCGCGGACAACGACTTCCCTTCTGCTTCTGTTCAGGTGTGTCTCTGAGCACCCTGCGCTTTAACATAGGGGACATCCCAAACCCATTTGTCAGTCTTTATAAAATAAGTCCTCCTTCAAAAAGAGAGCTCCTAATCATTCTATTTCTTCTTTCCAAGTCGCGTGTAGAGCTATATAAAGAGAAGATGACCATGACGTGGAACATGACACTTGTCAACATCCAACGCTTGTTAATATTTGACCTTTCTATTTCCCTTGGGAGGTAGGCAGGCAGGAAGTAGTATTCCCCATTTTACAGATGAGAAAAGTGAGGCCCAGAGAGAGCAAAAGCTGGTACTCATACTTCTATTCCTGTACCTTCCAATACAAGTGCTTCCCCACCTTCACCCAATCAATCTCTGATCCAAATAGCCAAATGGGGCGGGGATGATTCCCCAAAGGAGAGAATCCATTAAAGCAGGAAGCAAACACTGACTAATGTGGTGCTAATGAGGACCCTGGGGCTCTTACTACTCTCAAGGATCCTGAGCTGGTGAGAACAGAGTTCAAGGTAGAGTTAGACGACTGGACCTTTGAATTCCATCGAAGTCTGAGCACATCTAGGGCATATCTGGGGCTGGCCTGCATGAAATGGCTCCACCTTCTGAGCGTCTTGGCATAGGGACTAAGACCTCCCCAGGACCGGTGAGTCAGGAAGACACTTTCTAAAGGTATTACATCCTAGTCCTCTCCACCATCCCAAGTCTTAACCTCACTCCTCTTAGGACAGATAAGGATCATGGCCTCCCTCCACCTCCCCAGCTTGTTCCAGATATAGGGGAGACAGTCTCCTTCTTCCTGTTCTTTATTGGCGTTCTTGGGCAGGCTGTACAATGAGAAATAGAAACACACGAGGTATCACCCACACAAAAACATGGATCTGCCTACCTAACACAGGAATGTGCACAGGCACAGATGTACTGGTCTCACATACCTCCCCGATGTGGGAGAGACATGATGCCTGGGCAGCAAAGTGGTTTTGGGGGACACTTATAAAGAGGCCACATGGCACCTCTCAGGCCTAGGGCTTCTATCTCTGAATATGGAGGGGAGGCAAGAGGGTATGTTTTCCTCGGGGTTTGGGTGAAGTTCTGGGAAGGTTGCTGGGGGGTTGAAGGAGTTTCAGTTGTAAGAACGATCTCTGAATACTTTATGGAGAGGCTGAACCAGCACTAACAGCAGCCTCCCCACAGGGACTGGGTGCTGCTCCTGGGAACCAAGGCTGGGCAGCAGAACACTAGAGTCCCTCTTTGGGTCCTCCTGGGATATTGGTGGAAGATGTGGAGGAAGCAGCAGTGTGCACTAAAGACCCACTTCTGCACCAGGAAGCTGGAGAGGCAGCCGGAATAAGACAAGTCATAGACACAGCCCCACTGAAGACACCACTACATGAAAATACGCAAATCAGCATCAAACGCCAATATAACCTGCATTGTCTCTCAATTACAAAACCCACTTTAACAAATGCTTGCCCCATGAAGTTCACAAAGTCTTATAAAGAGACATACCACCATAAAGTGAAGCCCTGACACGTTCTGGAAGTCACATGCCACTTCATACTGAATCACACACTCAAAGCACAGAGTTGCACATAGAACAGAAACACATGGTCAAAACAACTTCATTAGTACAATCAGGGTCCTACACAACCTCACTCAAACATCTGACAAGATCATACAATCTAACAGCCACAAACAATCGCATTCACTGGCTGTCACCAAGCCCAGGGCACACAGCAGCCAGCTGTGGGAGGTGCACACACATATACACACAGACGCACACGAAGAATGACAGGCGCTCACGCACGAAACACCTACTACTCCAGACACCCTCCTAGTCTTGTGTCACACCCGCCCACACCTGCTGCCTCTATCCACTTGCCCACCTACCTGCTCCCCCCAGCCCCTGCCACCACCCCCCTACCATGGGGCCTAGGGCTCTGAACCCCAGCATCCTGGGGCCCAGAACAGCCGGAGGGGGCTTGGAAATGTGGCAGAGTGTGGGTAAGGGGTTGGCCAGGGTCAGAGAGGCTTCAGGGTCTGTGGGGATGGAATCTACCCTCCCTCCCGCGACCCCCGATCCGACTCACCAGTGAGTTGGTCATAGGATCCGTCCAGGTCTCGGGAATCGGACAAACTCTCCTTGCGACCCTGGCCCCGCATGGCCCCCGGCGCCCCCCTCCCGTCCCGTCCCGCCTGGGCCGTGGGAGGGGGCGCCGGGTGGCCACGATAGGGCGCTCACACGGCGCCCCCTGGCGGCGTAGCGCGCTGCCGGGGCTGGGGGCCGGGAGAGTCCGCGCTGGGGCTGAGAGTCTGGGGACCTGGCGGGGGTCTAGGGCCCACCCGGGGGATCCTGGGGTAGGAGCGGGAGAGAAGCTTGGGCACTAGGTGAGGGCAGAGCCGGAGGCAGAGCGGAGCTGAGCGCAGAGCCAGAGTCGAGCCGCCTCTCTCCTCCCGCCCCCTCCCCGCGGCTGTCACCGCTGCCTCCCCCCTTTGGCGCTGCCGGGATTGGCTCCCCCTACCCCCGCCCCCTCCTCTTTGCAGATCGGGGGAGGTACTCGGTGAAAGGGTGAGCTGGAAAGCGCGGGGAGGGAGACTGGCTCTCCAGCAACACTAACCCCTAAACCTGAAGCCGCGGGTCTTGGGGCCGGAGAGCAGCGCCAGAAAGGCCCCACTGTGAGGAAACCCCGCCCCAATTCAAAGGCACTCCTTCCCCTACTGTCAGCCCTGGTCGGGGTCTGTCTCTGAGTCCCCTGTTCGTCAGTCTCCATGTCAGTCACTATTTTGTCTGTTGTTCTCCCTCGCATGTATGGGTCTCTTGGCCGCTGCCAGTGCCCACCCTGCTTGAAAAGTGCTGGGGATGCAGAGGAAAGGTTAATCTGGCCTCTAATAAGGTTTATCTCAAGCCAGTGGACTACAGTTTTCTCTTCTCTCGGAAGGATCCCAACTCTTACCCACGCCAGGGTCTTGGCTCTGGGCCCCGGGCCCCATTCACTCTCAGGGTCCCTTCTTCCCTGATCTAATGACCCCCTGTTGGCCAACTGGGAAGAAAGTGAAACAGATCAGTTTCTCAAGACTTTCTCGTTCTTTTGTTCTTCTTTCTCTTTCCTGCCCTCTCTTTTATCACCTGCTGTCCTAGATTGTTTACCGTAAGATTTGGGGAGCAACTGAGGGTTTGGGGATCCAGGTGAAGATTCAGAGGGGGGAATAAATGCTCTTGTTATGAGCCCCATTCCCTTAGATTAGCCCCTTTTCTGAAGTTAGAGGCTTGCACAGAGCTGGGCTCCCTCTGGCTCCCAGGAATGGCTACTGAATGACTGAGCCTACTTGTCTGATCTTCCCCAGAATACTGCCTGGGATCTTAGCCCAAGAGACTCCACCTACCATGAGGATAGGGGGCAGGGAAGTGTCTGGTGGGTCTGGATAGTATGGTGGCCATGTCCCAGGTAATCCTGTCTGTCCAGTGGCTCCTTTGGAGGAGTAACCCCAACACATTTAACCTCTTTAATTTCCAAGCACTTGATTCAATTAACACAGGAGGAATTACAATGGGAATTCAGGCATGAGAAGGGGAAAAGCAGCTAAAGGGCAGACTGTCTTTGGGAGTAATGCTCTGCTCCCGGCTCTGGGGGGTCCTCCACAGAACTGGCAGACACCGGGGCATGGACAGAGCATGGGCAGCTCCTTTTGGAGTTGAACTCTAGATGAGACTCCTGTTTGGAGTTCTTAGAACAAGGTGTATGTAAATGGGCCAGAGGTGGTTGGGCCTTTATAATGGAGGGCAGGGAGTCCTTTGTTTATTGCCTCATGCCCTAGACCTGCCCTTATTTACTTCATAGGAAAGACTGGCAGGAATCCATAAGCAGCCCAAATGGGCCAGCTGGCCTCTTCAACACCAAGTTTGGAGATAAGGGAGCTCTTTTCTCCCTCCTTCCACTGAGAACACAGGGGAGGCTACACCTCTTTGACCTGAACTGGCTTTCTCTGTGGCCAGGAGACTCAGGAGAGCCTGTAAAAACCGGCAAGGGCCCCTAGCCACATGGGACCGGCATCTGGAAGATTACCTTAACCCTGTCTTTGAGAAATGAGTTCTGAGTAACAGAGATTAAGAAAGAAAAAAAAAGACACTAAAAAGACTGTCCCATACAAATAAATTTTTAATAATTTCGACTTGCCACCAGCTTCCCGCTCCAGTTCCTCTTGGGTTTATCACTGTGGAAAACACTAAATGCCCTAGGCTGAGCTATCCATCTAGTGATCAGAGATGACCAAGTCCCTGATCTTTTAAGAATCTACACATGGCAGTATGTTGGTGGATTCTCTGGTACTAGTGCATATCTTTTCAATGTTGGGAAAGCAAATATCTCAAAGAGATTTGAAGCTTAAGTGGAACAGCAGCTGGGGAGGTCTCAGACCTGCTCACTGCTGGATTCCTATACTTCCAGATTCTTTCTGTGCCACTTGCTTCCTGCCATCCTGAGGGCTTTAGAGAGT